CAGCAATGGGTAACAGATGGGCAGTGGGGGACCGGATGAAGGGGGAGGGGAGAGCGAGTGTGGAGGCAGTAAGGCCACGGAGGAAGGACCATCCCACACTGGTGAATTTTCCATAGAGTCAAAATATAATCCTGACTTGTCCAGCCTTGTTTTCATCCATTTCCAATTTTAAAAAAGGGGTTTAGAATCCAGGACTATACTCCACCTTACGCTAAGTATCATCTAGTATTTTCTCCAGACCTTGGTCATCACACGGCAATCATCACTACCCTGTCCTATGGCCGGTGTTCAGCCACAGGAAGTGTGGAAGGGCTGCTGGTTGCCACACTCAAGCCCAGACAGCTGGGGTCTGTGATCAGGGTGACACACCTGCCACCAGAAACACCTCCTCGTCGTCCCCACGTGGTTCCTTCTAACAGCCATGGGCTGAGAAACCAAGAGCCCAACCCTGTCGGGACTGGGTCACTATGGGTCTGAGGGATGACTGATCCACGGGGTCCTTTCATGACGGCAGGAGAGAAGGAACCCCACTCACCTGAGTTCTGATCCTGCTCCGCCGCTTACTAGCTGTGGCCCCAAACAAGTCATTTCACTCATCACTCATCCCGTTTCCCTCTCTGTAAAACGACATCCACCTCTGGCTGGGCTGAGACAGCAAGAGTTCAGCCGGTGGAGATGCGCCACCTGGCACCTGGGTGCTACCTCTGCACACATGCCTGAGCACGGTCAGGACTGTCCCCTTGGGGGCCTCCATGTTTATTCAGGGCTGGGCTACTCTAGCAGGTTTTACTGTACATTTATGAAGAAACTGTACAACAGGGATGACCTCGGAGTCCTAGAAACTCGTCTCATGAATTTACAAAGGCTACAGGCAGACCAGGCCCAGGTAGGGGCATGTGCGTGGGTGTGTGCGTGGGTGTGTGCATGCATGCACATCTGCACATGCACGTACCAAGGGAATTCAGTGCTCACGAGGCAGGCCTGGGGGCCACTCAAGCATGGAAATGGGTGTCCGGACCTGGCCCTGCCCGGGGCTTTAGTTTCCTCTCCAGAAAAACCGAAGGACAATGAAGTGTCACTTTAAATTAATACACATGAGGACTCTGGGAGTCACAGCAAAATGTCAGTGACATCATGTGGGTGAAAGTGGGGCCGAAGCCGCACATGGACCATGAAGACAAGCTGGGAAAGCCATGTTTACACACAGATAAGGATCAGGAGGCTACGGAGACATGCCACCGGGGAAGGGATTGAGGGGTGACTCCCACAAAGCTGTGTACATGGTCTCTAATGGACTCTTCTCCCCGCGTGTGGTGAGGTTCGGTGCCTCCATGCCCTCCACCTGTGCATCCCCTTATCATCCTGGCTCACGGGAGAGGAGGCGCCTCTGTTCCACCCTGTACAACAGCGGGGCGCGGGGCCCGGGCCAAGAGCTGGGCTGGATCTGCCTCCTCCCTACCTGTTCCCGGCACACCCCTCCCACCTCACTGTCTGGCTGCTCAGAGCCCCCAAACCTGCTGTCCACACCTCAGTTCCTGTCCCAACCCAGGCCAGGTGGTTTCTCATGTCCTCCTGGCCAGGTTCCCACAAGGATACTCTGTCCTGGGCTTCTTCCCACCTGTGGCCAATCCCCAGGAGGACAGAGATGGGCTCTTCCTGTTATATTTGATGGCCACCTGCCTCTGTTCTCCAACACTGCCTAGGAGATAATTTGGGGGTTCCAGAGAAGCAGGAAGGAGGCCCAGAGAGGCTTTCAGGAAGCCTGGGGAACCTGCCCTGCCAGCCACCCAGCCCCCAACTTCTCCTCTCTAGTGACCCCTCCCTCCCCAGTGACCCAGGCCCAGTCCCTCCTCCCAGCCTGTCACCTCCTCTGGGCAGTGGAGCCAGTAAGTACCATCAGGATTAAAGAGGATGACGTGCACAGAACCCCCAACTCCCGCCTGCCCACTGGATGCCCAAGTTCCTCTCACGTTCCCCTCGGCCCCTCAGAGTCAAAGCATGGAGGCGTGTGCTATGGCACCCGCAGGTGTGGTTGAGGGGTTTGCAATGGCACCCGTTGGTGTGAGAGGCAACACACATCCACAGCTCTATCGTGTTCTAATCTGTGAACAAAGGTCTCAACAGCCTATTTATTCCAGGAGAGAATTTTGCCCCCACACAGCCTTTCTGCTATGAAATAAGGCTATTAAAGACTTTTCAGGGGGTCCAGCCCCTTACTCCCCGCGGCTCCTGGCCCGTGTGTGAGGTCTCGGGGGCACACACAGGAAAGCTGCCCACCGTCCAGCTATGTTTTTCATCCCCTCCCCCCTCTTCCCCTTCACCCTCACCCCCCTGGTCCAGCTGCATGGACCTGCCCTCAAACTCCTGCTTCACCATCCACCCCATGGACAGTTCGGTGGCATAAAAGGTGAGCTGTGCCAGGCTCCACGTGAGAAGAGGAATGAGGGGAATCTCTGGTGGCCACAGTTCACTTCTCCTGCGCCCCAGTGCCCCCCCCACCTCCAGCCCTAAACTGCTCTCTCCACGACTACAGCCTCAAGGTCATGTTGCTCAGTACTATTCACTCATTCGCTGATAAAGGAAGCCCCAGCTCCACCCTGAACCCCACACCTGACTCCACCTGCTTTTCCCGTTGGAACCCCAACTTGCCCGCAGTGGAAGAGTCCAGGGCAGGCGGGCCAGCTTGCCTGGCATTTCAGGCTTCCTCACAGATCTAAGCATGGGTTGGGGGCACGAGGGCGCAGAGGAAAAGACTTGGATATTGTCAAGGCATCTTCAGTGCGACAGGTGACAGCGGCAACAAAAGCTCCCAACCCCCTGGAAATCCAGCACCCGCTTGAAAGTGTGAAACTGGATTTGTTCCCCACCCACCCAAGAGGGAGCCCCTGGCCGGAGCCAAAGCTGACAGGAGCGGGGAAGGGGTATCTAAGGACGGGGAGAAAAGGAGGAGTGGCAGGAGAAAGTTCCCAGTGTTACCCTGAGGGGGGTGTCTGGTCACAGGGTCCTCATTGCTGTCCTCCAGCCCCTGCCCCTCCCGTCCTTGACAGAGCCCCCATCCCTGGAGGTGCCGGCCCAGAGGAGCAGCGGGCAGGTGGATGACGCTCTGCTGGCGGCTGGGGAAGGGCTGTATCCTGGGGTTTCAGGGCAGCACAGGGCCGCAGGGAGCTTAGTTTCCACCATATTCAGAGACAGCGAAAGCAGGGAAATGTGTCTTAAGAGGACTTTGGTGGGTGGGCCTGGGAACTGAGGCACCTTTTTAAAAGTCACATTAGTTCCAAACAAGTGACTCAGAAACTTCTGGAACACAGCCTACTGAAAGTTGGGGCCTCCCGCATTCTATCTCAGGCTCCCAAACAGACCTTGAAAGCCATCTCCCCTCCCCCTCCACTCCCAAAGGCCCATCGGGGCAAAGCTTCTAGGTCAAGGTCATGTTCTCCTGGGATATGAACGTTTTTTAGTCTTGATTTACTTATTTTTCTATCTTTTCTGCTTCCTAGTCTTCTGGGAGTTTTGTTTCTTAGCAGCACAAGCAATCGTGGGTCCAGCCTCTGGGCCCCAATGGGGAGAACCTGTTTTGCTCCCTTCATGGGCGGCAAAGCCTACTAGAAACTCAAGTGGTCTAGGGCCCCTGGCAGAGAGGAAAGGGCCGGAAGTGACTGTGCAGCAAAGGTCATGGTCAGTTTGAACCCAGACCTCAAATGCTACCATGCCCACGTGTCTATGGGCCCGGCGCTGTGCTTTTCACTGGTTGCCTATAGGAATGACTCTCTCCATGCCGCCCCAGACAGCTGCCAGCCAGGCCCACAACCAGCAGAGACACGGACTGAAACCCACCAGCCTGGATGTACCTATACGCATGAACCTATACGCGCCAGCCCCCGCTGGGCTCCTGCAGAATGGAGAGGCACAAAGCGTCTATGAGAGAGGACACTGCACGAGCCAGAATGGAAAAGCAGGAAGAAACTTGGCCCAAGAACCAGGAAAAAGTTAAAGCAGCGAAAAACTCATGTTTACTTCTAACCAAGTTGGAGGTAATGGGACAGTCCGACAGAGCTCTTGCATCAACCACCGACGGCACCAGTGGGCCCCTGGAGGCTCAGCCCCCAATCCCAGGAGACAGCGGTAATAGCTTTGGTGGAGATGGAGGTGGCAGCGTGACGGAGCAGGAAGAGCAGTGAATTGGGCAATGGACGCTATAGCCGTGTGACTATGACGCTGGCTGTGTGGCCTTGGGCAGGTCACGTTCCGTCTCTGGGCCCATGAACTAAACAAGGAATAGCAAGGAAGGCAGCTATGGAACTCACTGACTCTGCACCCCATAGACCCCCGAGATGGTTTACCAGATAATAAACTCAGAAGCCGGGAACCACCTAGCTGGGGTCTTTGGCACCTGGTGAGAACACGATACAGTCTAGCAATTAAGCTGGGGTCAAAATTCCAACCCCTCGGGCACCCCTCCAGGACTAGCAGGCCCTCAGCACGGTGGCCAGCACGGCTGTCCCCTGCACTCGCGCTCACATCCAGCTGCTCAGGCACCCTGGGCTCCCAGTGGCAGAAGGGGGTCTATGACAGCACATCTCTCCCCTCTGCAGCCCCTCGGCTCCCCCACCTGACAGAGGGCCACCGAGTCCACACGAGTCAGTCACTTGTGAAGCCAGGGGAAGCCAGGCAGAGGCCAGAACCAAGAGGACCCTCTTCCCCACAAGGTCACCGACAGGGAACAGCCAGGACAAACTGCCTTGACACAGGCCTTGGTGGGCCTCTGGCCCCAGGTGACAGCGGCCCTGGGGCCTAGTCCTGCCATCTTCCAGCCTCGGGGTCAAGCACAGACAAATTCCAGTGCAAAGCAGGAGCTGAGGGGGCAGCCCTTCCAGCACAGACAGCTGTGAGCCCCGAGGTGTCTGGGCACACTGACTCAGGGCACAGCAAATGAAGGGATGCCCCCTCTGCTGAGGGTCGGGGGGGAGCAGGCACAGGCTGGGGCCAAGGGCAGAACTCACCTCCCTCAGCAACTGCACGCCGTTGAGCGCCTCCTGCTGCTGGGCCACGGTGACCCCCAGGACCAGCGTGTGGACCACACAGGACACCACGGAGATGATGACGATGGGGCTGAGGCTGAGGGGCAGCGTGATGAAGTAGGAGAAGACAAAGAAGGCCTGCCAGCCCACCGTGTCGCTGGCCGCGTGGGCGCCCGCGAAGTTCAGGCCCAGGTAGGAGAAGATCTGGGCGGTGATCAGCAGCCACAGCAGGTAGGGCACCACTTTCCGGGTCACCCGGTCCGGGAGCAGCCCCTTCTTGCAGAGCACGAAGAGTATGAGGTCCACCACCAGCCCCACGGCGGCCACCAGGAGGGGCGCCAGCTTGTCTCCCGAGAAGACCACGGCGCACATGACCACCACGTAGCAGTCGAAGAGCGCGGCGAAGACCACCAGCACCAGCAGGGTCTCGTGGCGCTGCCGCTTGAAGTAGGTCTGGTAGAGGTTCTCCAGGGACTCGGGCACGAAGGTCAGGCGCATGAAGCGGGGCAGGCACAGGCAGGGCCCCGAGTTCCGGACGGAGATTTCATGGGTCCGGCCCGCCCCGCGGTCGGGGTCGGAGGGCAGGGTGACCGAGTACTCCGCGGAGTACTCGGCCGAGTACTCGGGGTCGGAGAAGCCCTGGTTCCTCGGCATCCTGGCAGCTGTCCGCGCCTCCGGGCCGGCCGAGGGACAGCGCTGCAGCGCGAGGCCGGCGCCGGGCCACCTAGCAGGGCGCGCGGGCGCGCGGCGGGGCAGGGCGGCCGGGCAGGCGGGCGGCGCGGGCGTCCAGGGCGCAGGGGGCGCCGACCATCTGGAACTTAAAAGGACCCGCTGAGTAGAGGCCCCTCTCCCCTCCGCCCGGGGCCCCCCGGACCCGCCGCCCTCGCGCGCGCCCTCGCGCCGGCGGCCCCGAGCCGAGCCCGCCCGCCGCCCCCGCGCCCCGCCGCGCCCGACCACGGCGCCCCCAGTCCTTCCGCGCAGACACCCCGCTGCCCGCCCGCACCCCTGGCGCCCCCGTGCCCCTCGGCCAGCGCCTGGCCTCCTCCGGGCTCCTCCAGGCCCGAGCCGGGGAAGGATGAAGCGCCCGCAGAGCCCCCGAGGCTCCCGGCGCCTCCTTCCGTTCGCTTCTCCCCCCCAGCCCCGGCGCCCCCCGGCCGCGGCCGCGCCCCGCTTACCTGCGCGGGACTCGGAGCCTCGCGGCCCGGCCGGGCCACGCGTGCGGCGCGCGGGGCCGCTCCCCCCCGGAGCCGTGGCCCCCGCCCCGCCGGGGCGCGCCTCCCCCGCTGTCAGGCCCGGGGTCCGGCCGCGAGAGGCGCGGGCTGCCCCCGGCACCCACGGGCGCCGGCCGCAGGGGAGGGCGGCGGTGGGGGCGCCGCGGGCCGGAGATTCGGGGCGCCCGCCGGGGGCCGGGCGAGCGCGGCGCGGCGGGTCCCCTCTGGCCTCGCGGGGTGGCGGCGGCGCGGCTAGGGGCGCGCCCGGGGCCCTGCGCGGCGGGAGCGCGGGCCGAGGCCGGGGGAGCCCGCCAGCATCCTTGGCCGCCCGCGCCCAGCGAGCCAGCGAGTCGGGGCGCGGCGCGCTGCACACTGAGCCCCGCGCGCTCCAGGCCCGGAGGCGGCGGCCCCGCCCTCCCGCCCGCAGGCGCCGCCCTCGCGCCCAGCGCGCCGGAGTTCTGGGGGGCGCAAGGGGCGCCCCGCTGCGGAGCCGGGGAGCGGGAGGGGGAAGGCGGGGGCGCGGGCGGGGGGACCCCCGTGGCCCCGGCTCGGCGGCGCGTCGGACGGCGGGAGAACCTGCGCCTTCCCGCGCCGGCGCCCCGGGACGCGCCCTCCCGCAGGTGAGGCGCGGCGCCCCCGACGCCCCCGCCCGGCCGCCGCTTCCTTCCGGACCCGCAGAGGCCGGGGCTGCGGTGGGGGGACCGCGGGCTCCCCCGCCCGCGCGGCCTCCGTGTCCCCGCCCACCCTGGCCGCTCACACCCGGGCGCCCGGGCCTGAATCGCCTCGGAAGGGCCTGTAGCTGCGCCCGGCGCCTGGCACGTGGGGCTGGAGGCCGCCCTGCTTCCAGGGGGCCTGGGATGTGCTTGAATTTACAACCCCCACACACACCCTGAAAACTAAAAGGCTCCTTGAATGGCTAAGCCTATCAGTCTCTTACACCATAGTGCGGATTTACTTTCCTGTACTTTGATAGAACATCTTGCCAAGATCCATCACGGATTTCAGGAATTTAGATAAAGGGAGAGGAGACTGTGCGGGAGCAAAAGTACGTCTGCGGTTGGAGGACGCTGCTAAGACAGCTAGAAGCTTTAGGGGACAGGCTCCCTGGAGAGAGAAGAAGAAATAGGTCAGGGAGGAGAAAAAGTCCCCATCCAGGCCCTGCATGGTGGTGCTTCCTCAAGCTCCTGAAAGTCGCCCACGGGTGCCCTTTCCAGAGCCTCAAACGTCCCTCAGAGAACAGATGTATTAGAGAATGGATCCTGTCACAGCTGCTTCTATGGTTTCCTCACACTGATTCCGAAAATCTGCGGTCCTCAGCCCAAGCTTGTCAGGACCTTAATTACAAAGGCGAGGGCATAATCTCAGATTTAGGAGGAGGGTAATTTGACGAAGGTTTTGCTGCATGTTCCCCATTGTTTTGTTTGCAGTCCAAACATTTATTTTTAATTGTTACAAGATGTTAAAGGAAGCTTGATTTTTGTTTAACAAAGGGACAAATGTTCATGGAAGGAAAAAAGCGGATAGTCTGGGCTGACTTTGGTACATGGACACCCACATTGCATCCTTGTGGGTTCCTCCCCCTTCTCAGGTACATGTCAACTCTTGGAGTTCTGTGCAGCTCCCTGCTTGGCAAGGCCACACCCCTGAGGGTTCAGGCAAGGCCCTGAGGGTTCCCTGCTGGATCTGCTGTTGTCCCCGTGCCCCAGCTTCTTCTCCCTACCCACCCCATGAAGGAAGAGTGTTCCTCACAGATATCCCTGGTAAAAATCCCAATCTGGCCTCCCTGGTGGCGCAAAGGGTTAAGGACCGCACCATGAAGCAATCCTCAGCCTCTGTAGCTCTAGTTGGATCCCCAGCGGCCAGGGAGAAACCATATGGTGCAGCAGACCTCTCCTGCCTCGCGGGCTGTTCCCCTCAGCAGTGTATTTCAGTCAGTCTGCCTGTTCTGTTCCCCACTCTGTCTCTGGTGAGTCCTCTCACCACCCCCCACATGTTTGGCCCCACATCTTTGTACCCCAGCTCTCGTATGCATAAAAATTTTAAAAACTCTAATATGTATGCATACGAAATCTTTTTTTAAAGATTGATTTATGCATACGAAATTTTTTTAAGATTTATTTATGTGGGCCTCCCCGGTGGCACAGCAGTTGAGCGCTGGGTTGCGAAGCTGCCTGCAGCCTTTGCAGTGCCGGTTCGATCCCCGGCTGCTCCCCGGCCACTGGAGGAGGGTCCCACATGGCGCGCAGACCTCTCCTGCCGCCCGCTGCTCCCCTCAGCAGTGTACTTCGGTCCTTCTGCCTGCTCTGCTCCCCGCTCTGGCTCTGGTGAATTCTCTCACCCTCCCGCGCTTCTGACTGTACCCAGTGCTTGTATAAATAAATAAATAAATGTTTTAAAAAAAAAAAAAAAGATTTATTTATGCAACAAAATTTTTTTTAAGATTTATTTATGCATACGAGAGCTGGGGTACAGGCCAGAGATGCGAGGGGTGAGAGGATTCACCAGAGACAGAGTGGGGAACAGAACAGGCAGATTTAACGAAATACACTGCTGAGGGGAGCAGCGGGTGAGTCAGGAGAGGTCTGCTGTGCCATGTGGGTTGCTCCCTGGGCGGCCGTGGATAGAACTCAGGCTGCAGAGGCTGAGGACAGCTTCATAGTGCTGTGCTTAACCCCTTGCGCCACCAGGGAGGCCTTAAATAAATAAATCTTTAAAAAATAAATCCCAATCTCCTGCCCTTACCAATGACCTCACTGCTCCCCTCCCTTCCCTCCCCTTTCCTGTGGGCACCTGTTCATCAGCCATGTGTGAGAGCACAGAGCTGATGCCCAGCCGCTTGGGCATCAGCCAGGACCAGAGGAACATCCAGCCCCCGCCCTCAGGATGCCTGCTAGCTCCTCCAGGACACCATGTCCACCAACATCAAGAAATTAGATTCTATGCATGTAAGTCATATCTAAATATAATTTAGTTTAAGAGCAACAGTTATACAAACCAAACAACGTAGGAACGGTGGAGTATACCTGGGCACAGGTAGCAGTCAGGGGTGACTGAAACTGGGCGTTTCAGGACTGGATGCTCTGATTGGGCCTGAAGGGGTGGTAGCTGAAGCCTCCTGACGGCGGCTCAGCTGCAGGAAAGGCCCGGAGCATGTTCCCTCCCTGCTCTGCATTCAGGTTATGGGTGCGGTCCTGCCCTGTGGGTGTGGGAAGGCCACTGGGACTGCTGCAGCCACTCGCTGGGCCTCCCTGGAAGTCAGAGACAACTGAGTGAATATCCAGAGCAAGAAAGCCGCTCCCAGCCCTGCTCAGAGAAAAATGCAACTAGTAGGAAACTGGCAAGGCCACAAGAGCCTGGCTTGTCTCGCTCGCAGCTGCTTCTCCGTACCTGGCACCTAGTAGTCACTCGAAACAGCCCAGGAGTGAATGGGTGATTTCCCGAAGAAATAAGTGCACTGGCTATCCCTGAGGGGACCAACCAGGCCTCCCTCACTGAAGCTGAAATATCCCAGTCCAGGGGCAATTAAAAATAAGCACACTCAAGTGAAAAGGGTGGGCAGTGCCTTCCATCTCAAGCTATGCATTTTGTGTAATCTGCTCCACTGGTGCCACTGCTTTTGTAACCAAAAGCTCCAGTAACTCTCTTTAGAACCCAAGCGCATGCACCCATGCAACCCGAGACCATGAATGGCTGCGTGGGTAATAGGTGAGTGTGCTAAAGTGAAGACAGAATCATGGACTTGAGTGTAAGCTTGGAAGGCATCCTAACCCCACCCAGTCCCAGCGTCCACTCTGGATAAAATACTTCTTTGCTGAAGGTGCCCTTTGTTCATAGGGTTTGAGATTAGTGATGATGGCTAAGAATTAATTGTTATTGGATAAACAAGAGTGGTTTGGCCCCTTGGGGAAATGTGGTAGCTCCTGAATCCAGCAAACAATAGACCAGAGTGGAGCCCGGGTGTCCTGGGGAAAGAGAAATGGGAGGAGAGAAGATCGTTAGCTCCCCTGATGCCAAGCCCCTGGAGAGCCCTGTTTGGGGCCTTGGCTGAACGCAGAGCCTGAGGTAGGGGCCTGCATACAGGTGGTTTCATTGGGAAGTGATCCCAGGTAAGCACAAGGTGTGTGAAGAAGCGGTCACTGCCCAGGGCAATGGAACTCATCCTGGTGCCCCCTGAGGAGCCTGCAGAAGGCATCTCAGAATTTTCCACTGGAGGGGTAGAAGAGAAGGGTTTTTTTCATCCACCTACTTCCCTCCCCGTTGTTGAAGGGTAACCACCAAGTCTTTCCAGATGTGTGTGTCAGCGGGTGTGTGGGCATGGAGCAAGACACACTTGGTGCAGCGAGGACTGTGCTTCCAAGGAGAACGTAGCAACAACACGGCAGACAGGTGGGCCAGGAGTGGCCCAGTGGGCCCAGGCCCCCTCATCCGCCTGTGCAGTCACCTGGGCCCTGTCACCTGGAGAGGCTTGTGGAACGGCCGTGTCAGCCCTCAGTTGGC